AAAGCTGCCTCCATCCTCAAAGATCCCACCCACTCCCAGCACGGACTGTTCACCTCCCTACCCTCTGGCTGGAGGTTCAGAAGTGTGAAATGTAGGACCACTAGACTGAAAAACTCTTTCTTTCCCTCTGCCATCAGACTCCTAAACAGCTGAGGAGTTTATTACCAGGAAATACGTGATGTACTGTTTACATTCTCAGTTTGCACATTGACTGTTGACTGCTGCACATGCTGCTCCCATGCAGCATACATTCTCTATTATATTCTTTTATTGTACTGCTACATTTGTTACTGTCCTAGATTTTGTGTTTCATGCATAATTGCACAACGACTCTGCTGCACATGCTGCTCCCAAGCAACATACATTTTGTTATATTCTTGTATTTTTTTTATACTATATTGCTGCATCTGTCGCTGCTTAAAATGCCTTAGATTTTGTGTTATTTATTTATCTACTTTATATTTCGTTTGTATTTTGTGGCATTCATGTGGACGGCAAAGTAAGAATTTCATTGTACAGGGAAACACGTTTCCTAACTGTGCATATGACAAAATAAACACTTTGAAATTTTTTCTCTTTGTTTCTATCTGTTTTATTACCTATCTTGGAATTAATTAATTAAAAAAAAAATTTTTTGAACTAGTGTTGAACTGCCAGAGATGTGGCTTCATATTCAGCAGGTTGAGAGTTTGTTTCCAGGATCAGTTTAACTTTGAACTGTTGTTTCAGAGGGAGAACTGAACGTCCTGGAAGATCTTCTGACTGAGGCCCCGGATCAGGACGACGAGCTGTACAACCCCGAGACAGAGCGCGATGTCCCCAACAAGAAAGGTACTACTGCATGTGGTACTTATGGGAGTACTGATGATATTGCTGAAGGTACTGGTACTGCAGCATTGTTTACTGTTTATCTTTTTGATGAGAAAAGTACTACTGGAGCTACTGCTGGGAGCACTGATTATATTTTTGCTATAAATAGTACAGATAGAACAAATTGGTACTGCAGGTAATAGTGTGGCTGATACTACTGAAAATACTGTTACTGCTCGGGTTTTTCCCAGCATAGAAAGGCTTAGTCTGATTTTGCAGAGCGCATAAGCCGAACATCAGAATTCATGTTAAAGTGAGTTGTATGCGCTGACAAAAAGGACCCTAACCCTGGCAACAGGAATGACTTGTCAATCAACAGTCAGTGTTTGTATGAATGTTTGTGTGTGACAGCAAATGTCCGATGCCAGTGATGGTGTCCCAAAAGAATTTAGGGGAATTTGAAGTAAACTGTGCATAAAACTTATAAAACAACTTGTGTATAAAATGGGTTCTGAGCACTTCAAACAATATTATGTGTGAACACAGCCATTCTTCTCGTAACACCTGTGGGGTGTGTGTCGTTCGAATACTGATGCTACTACTGATGCTCCAGTTACAACTAGTGATGCTAGTACTATTACTGTGGTTACTACAGTATCTGAATCAGCTGAGGGTGATGATAAAATGATGTCTCCTGTACCTGTGTCGAAACCCTTTGTTCTGTCTCTCAGGGACAAAGAGGAAGAGCGAGCGTCGGGACAGTCAGGATCTGAAGAGGCCCCGCCCCTCATCAAGCCACACCCCCTCCAGGTCCTCCTCCACCAATAAGAGAGGCCCAGGCACCCCTCTGTCCTCATCTTCTAAAAAAGCATTATCCAGCCCCCGCGGTCGACATGCCACCACCGGCTACCGACATGAATACTACGAGGAGCGAAAGGGGCGGCGAGGGGCCAGAGAGGTGAACAGGAGCCGAGGAGGAGAGGACACACGACACAGAGAGTCCCAGAGAGGCCTGGAGGGTCTGAGCCAGGTATCAACATGAGTATTGCTGCTGCTTAGACTACACTCAATGTCTTCAGTATTTCAGCCAATCACCCTTATTTCCTGTCTATCTTTAGAAAGTGCGGCGTGACGAGCAGCGGGCTAGCCCCTCCCCTCGCGAGGAGGATAATCAATCAGAGGAGGAGGCAGCAGCAGAGTATGGTTCTGAGCAGGGGTCAGGAAGCTCCTCCCCAGCACCCTCCCATGTAGAGGAGGAGGAAGAGGAGGAGGATCAAGAGGAAGAGGAGGAGGGCATGGAGGAAGAAGAGGAAGAAGAGGAAGGAGAGAAGGAGGAGGAGGAGGAAGAGGAAGAAGAGGAGGAGTACGAGAGACGTGGTGGCACTGAGGGGAATGACTATGACACACGCAGTGAGGCAGGTGACTCGCGCTCCGCCTCTTCTGTCAGCTTCTCTGATGACGGCGAGTCAGTGCGCTCAGGCTCTGCCTCGGAGGCCTCAGGTATCCATGACAACAGTGAAAACATTCTGTACTTCCTCTCCTTTTTCTAACCTCCAGCTTGACACCTGTTCACTGTTGAAAGTAACTGTTAACATTCAGTGAGCTGATTCCAGAAGTGTTGGCTCGACTGACACTTTAGTCTCCTTTTTTTTGTAGATAGCATACGTTTTTAGCATTGAACAACATCCACTGTATTTACATCTCGCTTTTAGACAAATGAAATATACAGCGCAAATTAAATATCTTTAACCCTCCTGCATTCTTTTAAAAATTACCACACATATTTAATCAAATTTTTTATGGGAAAAATATTAAAAATTACAATAATTTCCAAAAAAAAACATTTCAACCAGGATTTGATTATTATTATTATTATTAGGCCCTGGGATGGGTCAATGATTGGTAGCAACATTGATTTTGATGCTTTTTTTTTTTTGTCAGTGGCAGATTTTAAGTGCCTAGTGGCAAAAATTGTCCACTTACAAAAATGTCATAAGCTCATATTACCCTGTTGTGTTCTAAAAAAAAAAAAAACAATTAGTTTGAACCAGAACATTTATTTCATTAACAATGAACAAGGAACACTAAAAAACATTAACTTTGAATCACTCTGTGTATTAGAGTCCAGCTCAAGCAGAGGCTGCAAATAGAAAAGGAGTGGTTCTTGCAGATAAACTTGTGGCACTTACAGCAGGTGCCTACAACCTTCTCTTTTGTGCACAAGTGGCACTGCCGTCTGCCCTTGACTTTGCTCCTCTGACTGTGCCTGCTGGAACATACCTCAGCATCTGGACGTTTGAGGAAGACCACAAAAGTGTTCCATCTACTAAATCTTCTTGTCATTTCGCCAACAAATACTACTCCCGCCAAACAACGTCCAATTTTGTTTGGGTTCTTGCTTCTCATCTTGAATTGTTTATAAAATTGATTGCAGGCTTGTAAGAGAAAGGCCTTATGAAGTCTGACATGCACATGTGCATGCTCTTATGTGCCCCCCCAAGGGACTAAGCGGTAGAAAATGAATGAATGAAGTGTAGTGTGTATGAAGTGTTATATGGCTCCATTGTGTGGCTACACCATAGGTCTGTTGCGGTGGCAAAGTACTCTGCTTTTAATACTTCATTAGCCACTTCTGCACGGCATTTTTCAAATATAGCAGGCAGAGCGACTCTCGTGAAATGGTGTCGAGATGGCAACGCTTGTCCATAGTATTTATCATTTTTCTGAATCCTTCGCTCTCAACCGTGCTAATAGGGCACGTCTTTGGCTAAAAAGTATGCAACGCCATCTGTTATTTTTTTGTGCCTTTCTGAGCTGGATGGATACGGAGTTGCACTGAAGAGCGTGTCTTTAATTGATTACTGTGTTGCGGAGGATGTTTGTCCTTCTTTCTGTTTGTTTATTAGTTAGTCATATGTTGGTCTGTGTTTGAATTTTAAATGGTTGAAAAGATTTGTGGTGTTACCAGCTGGCGCGTAGCAAATCTTGCATGTACTATGTTTTTGATCCACGTCCGCTTATTTGAATGCAAAATGTTCCCAGACAACAGAATTTCTTCTACCTTTTTTGTTGACCAAAGACTTCTGTGACTGCTCTTTTTCTGCCATCTTCCCTCACGCTGATTTTTAAATGCAATCAGATACGACATACGCAAGGGGAAGGGCGAAAGAGAAAACGAAAGTGAAAGTGCGGATGCGCGAATGCAGGCCAAAATAACTTTAAAAAAACGGAATAATCATTTATTCTCGATCACACTATTTTTGTGATCGTTGAGCCTCGAAATCGAAAATTCGATTAATTGCACAGCCCTAACACAAATCATATTGATATAACACACAATAGTGATGCACACTTTATCATTTTCAGTCTTTCTGCAAGTCACCCTTGCAAAAACTGTGGAAAAATAGTGACATTTGGATGAATTTGCATGCACGGTTTCAAAATGTGCTTGCGCCACCATCTGGTGGTCAACTACTAAAATTGCATTTTGAGACCCTCTAGTTTAAAATGGTGTATTGCTTCAGGGCATTGAAATATGACATGATACGATGTATTTGGCATCAAAAAAAACATTTTTAATGATTTCAATGATAACAGTAACTTTGGTACATATGTGTGAGTATTTTTTTATTTCTTCTATTTTAGGCAAATTTAAGGAGGTGAGACCTCAGTTTTTAAAAAATAAATAACCTGTAGCAAATTCGAGCTACATTCATTCAACACAGCTAAAATGGCTTGAAAAATAAAACACAAATGTTGCCTCTAGTCACCTAAGGCTGCATGAGGGTTAAGATTAACAAGTTCTTACGTGATAACGAGGTCATCAAAAATCATCATGCTAATGACAGTGCAACCACATGTCTTCAGAAATGGTTCTCCAGTTTCTTTGTTTTGTCACTCGTATACATTTTCTTCAGCTAAAAAATATAATGTTAATTTAAGAAAAAACATTAGCTATAATGTGAATATCTTCATGAAGAAGAATTAAATGTGCTTTTTCACCTTTATCTCCATTTATTCATCATTTTTGTTGCATAATCTTTTATAAGTGGATTTAAAGAAATTCATTATAACAGAGTAATATAAATTTTAGAGATAAAGTAATTAGTAAAAGTCAACCAATAAGTCAAGTAAAAAAACATTTGACTGAACAAATGTTGCCCTTTGTTACTGGGATTTAATTCTCTGCTTTTATTTTGAAAGGTTCAGAGAAGAAGAGGGAGAAGTTATCGTCGTCTGTCCGAGCAGTTCGCAAAGGGATGGAGAGTAAGGCTGTTGTTCTTGTTTTATAAAGTAATGTTACAGGGCACCTGACTTCCTTTTCATACTGGTGCCACCAGGTCTCCCAGAACATAATACCAGTGCCAGCTTTGGTGGCACCACTCATGTTTTATAGCGTAACCTAAAGGAGACAGTGGTGGGCCGTCAGGGCCAGCAAGGCCTTCTCTGCTGGCCTAAACACTATTAGAAGCACTGACCTACACTTACAACCTAAATTCTAATATTTGTTCCATGAAATTGTATTAATTTATTCCCAACAGTCTGTTCTCTTCATTTCGTAGTATTTCTCTTGGCTGCACCGCTTCCAGTACGTGTATGTGGATGTTAGATTTTTTTGTCCAATCAGATTTCAGCCTCTATGTGTTGCCATGTCAATCTAATCTGCCCAGGGCCTTCAGAATCAGAAGTGCTGGCCCATGTAACTTAAACTATATTAGCAATGGGACTGTTTCTTTAACCAATCAGATTTCAAATTCGCCTCACAGGGCCAGCTAGCTGGCCCACAATGACGTCATACGCGAAATACCTCTCTCTGTAATGCCACACTTTATTATATTGCGTTTTTGTATAGCATTGATGGTTTTATAATTGCGACGTACAGTGGTGGTATTAAGAGGTGAATTAAGTCGGGTAAGTCTCCACTGAAGGCCCAGGTACCAAATGCACGGCCCGCCACTGAAAGGAGAATTTGTACAATATGAATGCTGACATTCTGAGAGAGAGAGAGACTCGTCTACGGTGGAAAATCACTCCTGGCACCAATCTCCTCTTGTGATGCGGTCGCTTTAGTAGCCTAGTAGCAGAAATGATGATGTTGCGTACAGTTAAACTAAAACTCTAGCTGTTTGGTCTCTATCAACAAACAGGGGGCATGCTTTGTTGTTTTGTTTGTTTTGGATGTATTTGTAGCTAAACTTAATAAAAATTGGTCTTATTTGGTGGTGTGATGGGTTGTGTTGGACTTGTTACACACTTATTGGTAATAATTAAACAAGTGTACCTAATTTTGGGATTTTGTCGATAACCAAAAGCAGACAGTATTTTGCATCCTTCAAAACAGGTGTCTGTCTTATCTTGTGCTAGGTCATATTAATTGTTGCTTACTAATGATGTTAATGGAAACAACATATTTCATATACTGATTCACGTAAAGCTGAAACATTCAAGTAAAACAGTACACAAACACTGAACTCACTGCAGAACGATGGCCCTAAAGTTTGCTGAGTGGTGTTTTGTGCTGGTACCTCTGCTGGTTTAATGCTGTCATGGACAACTTTTCATGTTGTTCGTATTCTGTGTAGTGGTTAGTTCGCACACAGGTGGTGAATCAAGCTGTCGAGTTTTTTTTAATGGCAACTGATTTTCAATGTTGTTTGAAGATTAGTCTTTTGAACACACAGTCATGTTTCAAAGTTGAAATACCTCCATGCGAGTGAAGGTGGTCCACATCTAGCAGCGAAATCTTCAGTATAGTCTGCCATGCTTTGGTGTCAGTTGTCTCCTGGCACTGTCTTTTTACTCATTTTTAACTTTGCTAATACGCTGCAGTAGCTGCACAGTCCGCTGTGTGGCTGTCTCTGTGATGATAAACAAATCACCGGTTTTGCTTTACCCTGATTTCTTCAATATTTAAGGGATTTGGCCATAGTTGTCCAAACATAAAGGTGCACAGCATAAATCAACTATTATTAGTTAATTCAACACACTTAATGTTCTAAGACAAATTTAACAGAAAACTAAGCTGTTTACACCTGAGATTTATGATGCACCTTAAATAAATTTGGCTGCAAAATGCAGCTGATCACTTGCAGTCTGGCGCCCTGTGTTGTGTTGTCACTAACATTTCTTAACTCAATCAGAATCACTTGAGAAAAAAATTGTGTATGAGGTAGATTTTCTTCTTCATGATGTTTACTCCGAGAAAGCATCAACTACACATTCAAGTTAATCAAAGTACTGTTTCCTGTACTCAGATTACTACTCAGTTTCCTTTAAAGTAATCAGATTACATCCTCATCCTGTGATTTCAGATCCGACCAATAAGCTGCGTTACATCCTGCGAGATGCTCGATTCTTTCTCATTAAGAGCAACAACCATGAAAACGTCTCCCTGGCTAAAGCTAAGGTACGCTAATGTTTATTTTTAGTTTATTGTCCCATTGTTTACATATTTAAAAGGCCTCTCCCATCTGATGGTGTGTCTGTTTAGAAAACATTTTAATATTTCTGCAATGTTTAGGGTGTGTGGTCGACGCTGCCAGTGAATGAGAAGAAGCTGAATGCAGCTTTCCGCTCGGCTCGGAGTGTCATCCTCGTCTTCTCTGTGAGGGAGAGCGGCAAATTCCAAGGTTAATAAACATTTTGTCATGTATAAAAATGCCACTTGAATATTTTTTGGTTGGTCCTTTTTGCCATCCTTGGTCATATTTTGCGTTCCGCAAGGCTCAGTCCTAGCTCCGTTACTTTTTTCCTTATATACGCTGCCACTTGCCTCAATTATATCAAGCCACAATGTTCATTTTTATGCTGATATTCAGATTTACATGCCACTGCTACAATCCGACTTGAATGCACTTGCCCCATTATATAATTGCATTCGACATATTAAGAAATGGTTAGCTCAGAACTTTCTGCATTTAAACGAAAGTAAAACTGAAGATATGTTCATTAGTCCTGATTCAACTGCAATTGCACCCAGTTTAGATGTCTCAGCCCTCCCACGCAAAGATTCTGTAAAAAATCTTGGAGTAATATTCGATAATGGCTTTAACTTTGATAAGCAGATCAGGGCCGTAGTTAAGACCAGTTTCTTTCACTTTTTTTATCGCGTCCGAATTTAGAAAAAGCTATTCATGCTTTTATCACGTCACATCTAGGCTACTGCAACACCCTCTGCAACTTGTCCAAAATGCTGCGGCCCGGCTGCTCTCCAACACCCCCAAATATACCCACATTACCCCTGTTCTCCGTTCACTACACTGGCTGCCAGTTCAGTGGAGAGTGAAGTTCAAGGTGTTGTTTTTTTTATTTTTAAGGCCATCCACGGTTTCGCTCTGTCATACCTTTCTGACCTGTTGTCCATTTATGCTTCACGCAGAGCTCTGCGATCCTCAGGGCACTTGGCCCTGGTGGTCCCACGGTCGCGTTATAAGAAATGGGGCGACCGTTCTTTCGCTGTGTATGGCTCCAAACTCTGGAACTCATTACCCCAAAAGCTACCATGTGTAACCGAGCTAGTGACTTTGAAATCAGTTTTAAAGAGACCTCTTTTTGTGTAATGCTATGTATATTCTGTTATAAGAACGTTTTAGTCTGTTGTTGTTGTTTTTTTTTCTCACTATTGTGTTCACTGGATACTCCAGCTCTGTTGTACAGCACTTGTGCCCCGAGGAGTTGTAAAGTGCTATATAAATAAAGGTTGTTATTGTTGTTATTATTTTAAAAGATTAAATCTAGCCGCCTCTTTTGTTTTTTGTGCTTGATCTGTAGGTTTTGCTCGCCTGGCATCGGAGTCTCATCACGGCGGATCGCCGATCCACTGGGTCCTTCCTGCCGGCATGAATGCCAAGATGCTGGGTGGAGTCTTTAAAATTGACTGGCTCTGCAGGTAAACAACAAAAAAACATGTGGGTAGATATTTAAATGTGGAACCTCAGTTTATCCAGCTGTGCCTTTTCTGCCACACATCTGCATCCACTTCATGGTGGCAAAGCGTAGGCCATTTCCATCTGTGGTGTATCTGTCTGAAATTAAGTTTGTAAGTAAATAATTCTCTTGGAGCACCAGGTCTCTTTTCTGGTGGACCTACCAGACTTTGATGTACAGTGGAACCTTGGATTGCGAGTGTTTTGCAAGACAAGCAAAAAATTTTGATTCAATATACGAGCAAGGTCTTGCAATACACGTGGTACGTACGCTTTGTCTGCCGAGCATCATGTGACCTCCGTCACAACTGAGCCGATGGTTCTTGTGCTTCACTCGTATAGTCAATGTCTGTACTGCAACAATAGCCCCTCATGCCAGCCACGATTCTTTTCAAAGGTAAAGTGGAGGTTAATTTGTTTTATTTTTACTTTATACTGTATTTTGTATTACTGTAATCATTTTTATATGGATAAGTGGGTGTGGAACGAATCATCTTGAGTTTCCATTATTTTTTATGTTGATATGCGAGTGCTTTGGATTACGAGCACGTTGCCGGAACGAATTCTACTTGCAGTCCAAGGTTCCACTGTAATTATTATAAGTAATTCATTGGACCATCCCCAAACTGTTCCCACAAAGTTGGGAGCATGAAATTGACTAAAATGTCTTGGTATGCTGAGGCATTAAGAGTTCCTTTCACTGGAACTAAGGTGCCAAGCCCAGCTCCTGAGAAACAACCCCACCACCAAACTTTGCACTTGGCACAATCCAGTCAGACAAGTACCATTCTCCTGGCAACTGCCCCAGACTTGTCCATGGGATTCCCCCCTCCACCAAACTTTGCACTTGGCACAATCCAGTCAGACAAGTACCATTCTCCTGGCAACTGCCCTAGACTTGTCCATGGGATTGCCAGATAGAGAGGCATGATTCGTCACTCCAGAGAACACATCTCCTGAGAGGCTTATTAGCCATAGGTGTAGTGCTGGAACGGCCCTCTGCCACTTTTTCTCTAAGAGCAAAAAGAGTCAAGTCAAGATTTTTATTTGCCATTTATGCATAAACAGACAGTCTAGGCATATAGGAATTCTTGTGCAGCTCTCCTTTGGAGTCAGGTAAGGAGTCAAAAGCCAGGAAAAACACTTAGTCTTAAAATAAAGGGTTACATAAAGGCAACAAAGCATTAAAACCGCAATACACAAAAATAGGGTAATAGTATTTTCCCCGGTGAACTTCAGACATCGCACTTAGTAATTCACATGGTGGAGTTGGATATGTCATTACGCTTGGTGAGGTAGTGAGGGGTTATAACATACTAAAATAGAGTTTATATTCAGGCTTGTTTCCATTGCTTGGTAGAGAATGTCCTGTTGTTCAGGTCCCCCAAGAGAATACTGTTGATGAGATGCTCTTACAAAAATACCTTGTGGAACATTTCTGTATTATTATTGCACGTGTCTAGTAAGGGGTCATTGCACATACATTCTCACATTTTCGTATCTGCCATCAGTCTTACTGTGGCAGGGAAAAAGCTGTTGTAAAGTCTTGTTCTGTGTGTGATGATACTGTCCGCCCTGCTGTGCCCGAGGCTGTAGGTGCAGTTTTTGTTTCTGAGCAGAGTGTGAGCTGGGTGGAGTGGATCTCTGATTATGTTCTCTGCCCTTTTACGACAGCACTGTGTGTACAGTGTGTCCATAGCAGGCAGTTCAGTCCCAGTGATCCTCTCTGCAGTCTTTACGACCCAGAGCCTTCCTCTCTGCCTGTGTGGTGTTACCATACCAGACTGTGATGCCAGTGATGAGGATGCTCTCTACCAGTCCTCTATAAGCCTGGGTGAGAGGGCGACGGTTCAACCCAGCTTTTCTGAGCTACCTGATGAAGTATAGTCACTGCTGGACTTTCTTCACTGTGGCAGCTGTGTTCAGTAACCAGCTCAGGTCAGATGTCACCTTCAGGCCCAGGAACTTGTGGCTGTCAGCCCTCTCCACCTCAGTCCCTTTGATGGTCAGAGGCAGCAGAGGGGAGGGGTTCTTCCTGAAGTCTACTATTATTTCTTTTGTCTTGTTTATGTTGAGGATGAGGTTATTCCTCCTCTCCATAAAGAAGAATGTCGTTCACCAAGCTTCTGTAACCAGACTCGTCTCCCCCCTTGATGAGGCCCAGAATGGTGGTGTCATCAGCATATTTAATGATGCTGGTGTTATGGTTGGAGACAGTTGTGGGTGTAAAGGGTGAAGAGTTCGGGGCTGAGACAGCAGCCCTGCGGTGGCCCAGGTGTGATAATAAAAATTAAGGTGCAGTGACTGA